AACAACGGTTGGTGACTCTCAAATAAAAGACAAAAACAGGTCTGAAAATCCAAATTTGAGTTGCCAAAACAGTGTGTGCCTTGAGGAACGCGTCGAAGATAATAATAATAACTAGTTCGCAACATTTTAGACCTTCAGATCATCTTCGTTTTTCGAGCCGAAAGAGTCTTGAAGCAGTCGCATTCACAGTTTCATTTGCAGAAGAGTCACGCTAACACTGAGCTGACTTCTATTTTAGGTATGTCAGAAAGTAGCGTCCTGGAAATCCAAGAAAAACTGTATTTGGTTGACGAGCTTTCTTCAGGTAAGGGGAAAAAAACAGCAAATAAATTGCGCCTCTCAAGTTTTCAAGATTTTTAAGAAGGAAAGTGACCTGGAACAAGAAGCGTATGAAAATAAACAAACAACTGATCACTGAATATGAAGCAAAAAGAAACAATCAAACCGCAGTAAGCGAGTCGAGTTAGTGTACTTTACACTCTGAACTCAGAATGAAAAAATTATTCTGCTTAGTATCACTAGACATAGAGAAATGTCAAGTTGTATTCAAGAAGGAGTCTGATGTCGCTGGTCACAAATCAACAGGTACAAGTAGAAAGCGTGAGTTGAATGTGTATGACGCTATATCATAGATAATTTTTTCTGATAAATTTCGCGAAATTAGTGAGGGTTTCTTAACAACTGTAGAAATAATATGCATTTGAACTGGCCACATCGTGAGACAAATGATTATACTTCAGGGCATTCACCATAATGAATGATGAATTGCTTCTACCTTTTTCACGGTATGAACAAAAAAATCAAACTAACTGTTCTAAAAATGGTTCAGCAAGCTTTTTTTATTCATTAAAACGAAAAATTTATAGTCTTGTCGCGCTAGGAAATTATTTTTCGCACTTTTTCAATAATAACAAGTTATCAACTAAGCGTTCAAAGAGCAAAGTAGACTTCACTAACATTTGTGTTTTCATCTATCTATCTATCTATCTATCTATCTATCTATCTATCTATCTATCTCTCTATCTATCTATTTCTTGAAAAGTATACAAGTCTAATGTTAAGAGAGCAGCAGAACTTGACACTGTCTAGTTTTGAACAGCAAAATACCTTGGACTGGTGCGTCAAAAACTTTGCGACGCAAAGAAGTCAGTAGACCGTCAGAAATGGACTGAAAGGACTAAGTTAGTTTTGTAAATTCAATATCTGTACGAAAATTCGAAGAAGAATTATTTGGTAAGCTCCAAATAGCAAAAACGAGTTAAGGAAAATTTTTAAATTCTAAGTTTTTCAGTCTGTTCATTATTTCAGTATTAAAATGGAAACGTCCAGGGAAAAACCCACAAATATCTTAAAGAAATAAGAAAACAAAAATTTTCCGAATTTTCTTTACAAATGACTTTACATTACAACACTTTTTGTTATTTTAAGTTACCAAAGAAGCAAAAGTTGAAGCAGCCGATGGAAAACAAGACCATCCTGACCAAAGTTCATCAGGTAAAGGACAAAAAGAACAATTCGATGTCTGTTAGGTTTTTGGTTTGGATTTTTATACTATATCTCACATCAGAGGTTTGTCCTTATGATGGACAACTACTTAATTATCTTGTTAGTCCAACACTCAAGTTTTCTGTAAAAGACCACACACAATAAACTGGGGTAACACCACCTGGGTGGTCCTGGGACCGATGTCTTAAGTCTAATAATTATAACGATGACAATTATGATAATAGTTAATGATAACAGTGACGAAGATGATGATGACGATGATGACAACAGTACCGATAATGACAGTGATAATAATAATCATCATCATAATGATAATAATGACGACGATACGATGGTGATGACGATCACTAAAGCCACCTCTCTTGTTACTTTTAGACGAGGGGAAAGATGACGATTTATCAGCAGGAAAAATAAAGGAGTCAGAGATTGGCACTTCAACAGGTACAGAATTGAACAATGAGCATTGTATAGAAGGATACTATAGCTATATAAATGCCAGTTTGAATAAATGCTAGTTTGAGTCAATACTCAGTCACATCTGGTTTAATGCTTTAAAGCTTGAGAACTCAACAAAAGCAAAAGTAACTGAACAAAACTAAGCCTAAAATGTATATAAGACGCTGTAAGCGAGGTCGGGTGTTTCCATTTTACCAGTTCAGTATCCTTCCGCACTAACCTGAAACATTTTCCGAATCACAACCCAAGCTAAATGATTCATTTCTATGTATTGGACTCGTCAGCAGATAAAGTTTCAGGACTCCAAGTGAAACTGGATTTTGGTGATGAGCTTTCTTCAGGTGAGAGGAACAAAGAAAAGAAAGTGGATAGTAATAAATTTAGTCAGTGGGTATTGAGTACAACAAACGTCATGAAACGAACATTGAAATAAACAAACAATGGATCATTAACTAAAAGTGTTCTTAGTTCAAAGATAAATGTTTTTACTTTCATAATTCGGGGCCAAATTGCATTAAAGAAGGAATCAGATGGCAATGATAACAAATTAATAAGTATAAGTAATATTTGTAACACTCAGACAGTTTGTAAGACTACATCTGTAGGACGATTATCCAAAAAAAGGCCTTGAGTCTTTTTTGTTTGAAATTGAGCAAAATGACTATATTTCAATGGCGGCATTGGTCTGCACAGTATAAGTAATATTTGTAACACTCAGACAGTTTGTAAGACTACATCTGTAGGACGATTATCCAAAAAAAGGCCTTGAGTCTTTTTTGTTTAAAATTGAGCAAAATGACTATATTTCAATGGCGGCATTGGTCTGCACAGTTTCCGTAATATCAAACCAATCTTTGATTGTTTACAAGTATTTGTAACGTTAAACAATTTCATTGTTTTCCTCGCACCTTGTTACTTGATCTTAAATGTTTACACGGTTAAGAAGCCGTTGAGAGACAAGTGTTGTAGAAATTCACCCAAGGAAAGGTTTTACCAAAAGGACAGTTGTAGTTGCTTCAAATGAAACGTTGCAAGACAACTGAGCGTCAAAAAGATCGAAAACTGACGGAATAAGTCATTTTCCCTGGGTTAATATTAAGACAGAAATAATCAAGAGATTCCTTCAGAGCCGTAAGCTACACAATAACAGAGAAACTTATATTTTTCGGCTTCTAAAGTTATTTTAGTCTTTCATATTGCGATATTAAGAGGAAAACCCCAATGAAAGTATCAGAGGATGATGGAAAAATAGTTTTTATGACCAATGCCATTCTTTTTTTTTTTTGAGTTACCAAAGAGGCCCAAGTTGAAGCAGCCGAAGGAAACCTGGACTTGACTGACAGCAGTTCGTTAGGTGAGAAAAGCAGTTAAATACTTTTCAGGAAATTGTTAACTTGTGCAGAGTTTGCACCGATGATGGACAGAAATTATTCAATATGTTGTTAATTAGCTTATCATTCTGAAATTTTTCCTGGTCCAGTAGGTCTAAATACTCGCGGCACTCCTCACTTGTTTGTAATTTCCCCGCCCATAGGATACCGCCTCAATGGGTTGCATGTCTGATATGGGCACTTTATCATACGCCAGATATCTTTTTATTTGATGTGTTGTGACAAACCAGACGTAAATTTATACTCAACTGAACTATGAACACTCCTTCCTCTATGTGCCCCCGCCTAAACGAAAACTTATACTTAACTAACTAAGCTAAACTTAAATACACAACAGACCTTGCAGATGCATTAAACTAAACTTAACCAGGAACGCATTTAACTGAACTTATATTATCAAACATATTCATAATAAGAATATATCTCATATCTTATATATATATAAGAATATATAATGGACTCCCTATAATTTATTGTTTCATGACCCAGCTGGTCCTAGCTGGGAAAAGTAAACAGAATCTAGGATAATAAAAACGTAAAGAGTAGCAATAATATGATGATGTTGATGACCGTGAAGACAGTGATGACGATCATTCAAACCTTTTTTTTTTTTAATTTTCGACTTGGGGAAAATTCAAGTTTCATCATTTGGAAATATAAAAGATTTAGAAATCGGCAGTTCCGCAAGTAGAGAATAAAACTGTAAATAGTATGGAAGTATATTGTAATCATGAGTCTGGTTTATTAATTAAATTTTTGTTTGAAAGGAATTAACAGGCAGCCACATCTAATTCAATGATCTAATGCTTGAGAACTCAGCAGCAATAAAAAGCAACAATCACGAACAAACAGGGTTGGAAAAGGGTGCAATTATTATTCTTGATCATATTTGACGTTCTATACAAAGTAGGGAGATTAATTTCAATAAATGTATTATTCTTCATTGTTTAAAGGAAAAGTCCAAAGCACAACCCAATATGTTTGATTCTTTCCTAATTTTTAGCTACTTCGGAAGGGAAAGATTCAGCAAACCAAGAAAAGGTGAAATTGGAGGACGAGCTTTTATCAGGTGAGAGAGATAAAACAGTAAATTAATTGCACTTCTCAAGTTGGTGAGTGGAAAAAGACCTATGAAAATAAATGAAACATATTTTAGTTGGTCAACAGGCCTCCTCAACAGCAGCTGTTGGAATCCTGGACTTTGCTGATAACGGTTTATCAGGTGAGAAAAAGAAACAAGCATCTTTAGATTTCTTTTTAGAATTAACAATAACAAGACAACTAGTACTGAAATTTTGTCAACTATCAACTGAGTTGATAGTGAATCAGAGCCATTCGCGCTGACGATGGGCTAATGCTCGAAATGTCAGCTTTAAACCCTTTACGGTTGCTAATTTACGTTATCAACTCAGTTAATTACTCTGTTATACTCTCCCAACGACGCGGCCCCACAGTTTTTTTAGAAACTTATCCCCTTTATTATTTTGTGAACTATGATGAGCAAAGTGAATATTCTTGGTATCTCTACAGTCTAACAGACCAGATATCAATCGCATTATCACAAGTTTAGTCCATGAGTTGCCTCCTTGATCAGTTGATGACACAAAAACGAGTGAAAACCATTTCGTTGTAATTTCATTGACAGACGAAAGTGAAGCTACTCCTGTTGAGAAAAAAGTGGATATGAAGGATGCTCCTTTAGCAGGTAAGTTAGGAAGCACAGAGAAATCAAATTCCTTAAAAGCCTGAGTTAAATGCAATTTAATATACAAACATTATTTTCTGAAAATCACTTGCGCGCGTATTTCACCAAGTTTGTGGGGTGACTGAGTGGACTGGATTTTGACCAAGGAGTTTTTGAATATTGCGTTACCGAGAAGAAGTCGAGGTTTATAAAACGAAAACAAAAAGAGCTTCAAACTACTCTATTACATGTTACCCCCGGGTTCGAACCATTTACTGTATTACGTTCACTTGGACGATAGAGCGAAAGACTTACGAACGACTACATCACCTACGCAAGCACTGTCAGACAAATACGACAAAAACTCTGGTTTTATCACCGCTGTAAAGTTCACGGCCTTGTTCCGGTCGGGCTCAAACTTAAGTCCCCATTGAACACACAGGAGGCCATCCAGATAGTATAAGCCACCTGCAGACGACTGGTCAAAGCGCGGATAAATGATTGCCACAGAAGACTCAAACGCTATAGGAACAAAACAAAACAACTATATGACAAACTGAAACAACTGATATCTACTGAATTACTTGACACTGTTACGACTATCGCCGACTAACGTCAGAGAAAAAGACGAACCGAGGAACAGACAGGGAGCAGTGTATAAGATCAATTGCTCCGACTGTCAAGCCTCCTACACCGGTGAGACTGGTAGAAAACCTCACAACTAGACTGACTGAACACAGACGAGCGACGAGGAAAGGCGATGTCAACAATCACATTGCTGAACATCACTGACTTACGAACCACACTATTGACTGGGACTCTGCGCAATGCCTAACCTACGGCACCAACTACTTCAACGACTGACCCTGAAAAGCTGGTTTACCAACTTGGAACAGACTTCCCACAACAGGTGTCAACCACTACCGGCACCATACAAACGACTCATTCACGACATTGATATTACAAACGAACCGAGCAGAACGACCTAACTTCACCAACGGATCGAGACCGACCAATCACGACTGACCTACGCCACTTGAGTCTTAGAGCCCATAACATCACGGAGAAACTGATCAATCAGTTTATACAAACCGATCTAAGAACATTCGACTGACAACAACTATTCACTTGACTCTAATGATGACTTCTGCTCAGGTTGTCAAAATGTTAGTCACCACTACCGACAACAGTCCATCTCAGGACTACACTCACCCGGACGATCAAACTACACTATTACAGAGCTTTAATTAGCATTAACTACAAAGAAAATCCAAACAACCGACAAGGTGCAGTTTATTAGATCAAATGTGCTGATCACCAACATCAGAGACAAGGAGATAGGAAAGGGCACTAAAAAATGACTGAAATCAAACTGCTGAAAATCAACGAATGACGAACCACACCGTTGATTATGAGTCTGCGTGTTGTTTTAATATAACAGGACGAACTGTACCTCCGATAATTTTCTGACTGCATAAGAAAAGAATGATTTCCCAGACTCATAATAGCACTTGTTACTTAAAACATTTGCTCGTGCATTTTTTTTTTTAGTTTCAAAATTTATTTTTGTCTTTGAAATTGAAATACAGGAGGGACAAATAGACAGGAGGATCAAGAATGATAAGAAAAAGTGCTGGATGTTATAATTTGGATACCAGTAATACAAACTGCTGTTTGGTTTAACTGAAGAGGCGCATTTAAGTTAGAAGCAGGAGAAAACCATGTCTTTGCAGACAAAGCATTAGCAAACAAAAGAAAAATGGTGAAATGTGTTTAGCGCCGATCTTTTTACCACAACTCGCAACAGGAGTTTCTTTTTTCTTTTTTAATGGGCAAATATTTATCTATTTTGATAGCCTAACAGGAAAGTTTACAACTAGACTTTCACGGAAATTCCAATCGACCGTAAATGGTTTCCTATTGTGACATTCATTATTCTATGACTTTTATTATCCTGTCAAATTTATCAAGAACAATTCTGATAACAGTAATGATAATAATGATAGCACAACTGATGAATAGCAACAATGATAATTGTGATGATAAGCATTTAAACAATCTGTTTTTTATACTTTTAGACCAGGAGAAAAGCGAAGTCCTATCCTTTGGAAAATCAAAGGATTTAGATATCGGGAGTTCAACAGGTACAGGATTATACCGTCTCTTGGTGTGCATTTATTGTTATAATGGCTGATTTATTGAGTGAGCGTTGGTTGCTCTAAATAAAATAAACAGGAGCATCTATTTTAATGCTTAACAGCAATAGAAACCTCGGGCCAAAAAAGGCTACATTCATTGATCTTCATGTATTGTATTTATAAACGTGTCTGGTGGTTGCTTTCTAAAAAATTATTATCCTTCATTCTTTCCAAACAGTTTCCAAAGCACAACCCAATATGTCTAATTATTTTCTATTTTTTTAGGTACGTCAGATGATAAAGTTAAAGCAATCAAAGAAAAACTGGATTTGGATGATAAACTTTCTTCAGGTGAGAGAAATAAAACAGAAAATGGGATAGTGGTGATTTTAGTTAGACTGAGTACAACACGCACGATAAAATCAAACACACGAACAAACTGAACACTGAAAGTGTTCTTTGCTCAAGTAACATTTGTGTTCTTTGCTATTTCAAGACCATTTTACATCCAAGAAGGAATCAGTTGATGATGGAAGCAAACCAAAAGGTATAAGAGATCAATGTAAAACTGAATGAATTTAAGCCTAAGTCCGAAATTAAATCTAGATCTAAATCTTGGTATGTATTAGAGGTTGAAAAACAAAAGTCATCACAGATCGGGAGTGTTTTAACTGTTAATTTGTTTTGATATTTCAGTTGGAAAAGAGGACAACATGGCAGCTGATGAAAACCTTGTTGCTGCTGACAACAGTTCTCTGGGTGAGGAAAAATGAGGCCTCATCAGATTTTTTTATGATTATAACAATATGATACTACAACTCAAACCGAGATTTATATAGTATAATAAGCAAACCGAATAATCTTGGTATTTCGGCAGTCTGACAGCCCAGTTATCAATCGCACTATTAAAAGTTTAGAGCAAGAATTGTACCTGTGAGTGGTGAAAAGGCTTTTTATTTATCACGATATAAAAAAAAGGCCATACAAAAGACACAATACGCGAAAAAACTCAAAACTGTGGAGTTTTTTTTCCCTATCATTTCTTTTACAGACAAAATTAAGGCTACTAAGTCTAAAAGATGCTGGGCCGTTTGAAGTAAAATATGGGCAGATCTTTTTTCTGCAAAAGACTGGCAGGCGTTCTTAACCAAGATTTTCGGCAGCGAGACGAATGCGAAACCTATAAAAACTCAAGGGAACATTTGATTACGAACAAAACTAAAAAGGAGCAGTTTAAAAGATCGGCCGTGAGAAATGGTGATGTCAACAATCACATTTCTGAACATCGTCCACTAACTAACCACAATATTGTTTGGGACTTTAAAAGATGTTTAACCTTTAGCATGAATTAAGTTATACGAATGACTTTCGGAAGCTGAATTACCTACTTAAGGCAGATTCTTCCCAATAGAAGAGTAAAAATCAAGAGAGTGAGGGGAACACAAAAGACCATGATAGGTCACGGTTGCTCTGACGAAGGGCTAACGCTCGAAACATCAGCTTTAACTCTTGAAACGGTGATCAATTTACGTCATCAACTCAGCTGATGATACCAAATTACTCTGTTATACTCTCTCACCAATGCAGCACCACAGTTCTTTTGGCTACCTACCCCCTTGATTACAGGTCACAACTAATTATATTGTTATCATCATCCGTTTCATTTTAGTTATCACAGGGACACAAGTTGAGGCAGCTGAAGGAGACGAGAATTTTCCTTTCAACAACTCATCAGGTGAGAAATGGATTGTTGATCAGCTTTTTCGTAATTGTCATAACACAAGAGGTCGCATTGGAAGAGTTTCTCAACAAACAGGGTAAATTATTTCATTAAACTTACTGAGACTTTCTTAATCCAATTCTAAGGGTTTTCGCTTCCAATTTTTATGGATCTTCTTTCTCTCATTCCAATCAATATCGTCACCAAATTCAGTGTTTTTAACCATTGGCACCAAATAATGGCCCAAAAACTTGACCAACTTATGGGTCTTCGCTCATCACTTGAAAGCCTCAAAACTGCCGTCACCATTCCAGAAAATCTTCCACTATCCGACTCAGAGCTAGAAATCCGTCCTCAGTAAGAGCTTAAATTTTGTTACCATTTTTAAAACCACCGACTAATTTTTTAAAAAGAGGATGATTCTAACGTATTAGAAAAGTCCAATAAGATTAGAAAGTTCAACTGAACTCCCCCAGTTGGCCAGTCCGCATTTATTGATTTTTTTCATCAAATGATGTTTTCACTCAGTAGATAGCAATAAATGAAGTCAGTGGGCATTGAGTACAACAAACGCCATGAAACAAACATTGAAATAAACAAACAATGGATCATTAACTAAAAATTTTCTTAGTTCAAAGGAAAATGTTTTTCTTTCATAATTCAAGGCCAAATTGCATTAAAGAAGGAATCAGATGGCAATGATAATAAATCAATAGGTATAAGTAATAAGTGTAACAATCAGACAGTTTGTAAGCCTACATCTGTAGGAAGATTATCCAAAAAAAACCCTGAAATCGTTTTTGTTTAAAACTGAGAAAAATAACTATATTTCAATTGTGGCATTGGTCTGCACAGTTTCCGTAATTTCAAACCAAGCTGCGATTGTTTACAAGAACTTGTAACGTTGAACAATTTCATTGTTTTCCTCGCACCTTGTTACTTGATCTTAAATGTTTATGCGGCTAAGAAGCCGTTGAGAGACAAGTGCTGTGGAAATTCACTTAAGGAAATTTTTTACCAAAAGGACAGTTGTAGTTACTTCAAATGAAACGTTTCAAGACAATTGAGCGTTTAAAGATTGAAAACTGACAGAATGAGTAATTTTCTGTGGGTTTATATTAAGACAGAAATAACCAAGAGATTCTTTCAGAGTCGTAAGCTACACAATTACAGGGAAATTTAAATGTTTCAGTTTCTAAAGCTATTTTAGTCTTTCATATTGCGATATTAAGGGAAAAACCCCAATAAAAATATCAGAGGATAGTGGAAATCAATAAAAAAGCTGTTTAAGTATTTCAGTTTTCATGAGCATTGATATTCTTTGTTTTTTTGAGTAACCAAAGGGGCACAAGTTGAAGCAGCTGAAGGAAACCAGGACTTGCCTGACAACGGTTCATTAGGTGAGAAAAACAGTTAAATGCTTTTCAGAAATTGTTGACTTTTACAATACAATACAGAACAGAGTTTACCCTGATGATAGACAGTAATTATTGAATATGTTGTTAATTAACTTATCCTTCTAACATTTTTCCTGGTCCATCAGGTCTAAATACTCGCGGCACTCCTCACTTGTTTGTCGTTGTTATTTCCCCGCCCATAAGTCTGATATGTCTGATATGTGTACTTGATCATAGGCCAGATATCTTTTCATTTGATGGACGTAAATTTTTACTCAACTAAATTATTAACTCTCCTTCCTTTCTCTGCTCCCGCCTAAACGAAAACTTATACTTAACTAAACTCAGCTAAACTTAGATAAACAACCGACCTTTTAGGTGCACTGAACTAGGCTTAACCAAGAACGCTTTAGATGAGATATAACTTTTGGTCATAATTTCAGGGGCAACCAAAAGTGAAGCTACCTCAAGTGATAACGGAGTGGGTTTTAAAGCCTCGTTGTCCGTAGCAGGCAAGTAGGACTGACTTGGGTTAAGATCAAACATATTCATCATAGGAGAAAATCTCTAATAGACTCCATACAGTTAATTGTTACATGACCTACGTGGTCCTACCTGGAAAAAGTAAACAGAATCAAAGATAATGAAAACATAAATAGTAGCCATAATATGATGATGTTGATGACCGTGAAGACAGTGAGGACGATCATTCAAACCCCTTTTTTTTTTTTGAATTTTCGACTTGGGGAAATTTTAGATCGGCAGTTCCGCAAGTACAGAACAAAACTGTACATAGCATGGAAGTATATTGTAATCATAAATCTGGTTTATTAATTAAATTTTGGTTTGAAATGAAATAATAGGCAGCCACATCTAATTCAGTGATCTTCATTGTTTAAAGGAAAAGTCCAAAGCACAACCCAATATGTTTGATTCTTTCCTAATTTTTAGATACTTCGGGAGGGAAAGATTCAGCGAACCAAGAAAAGGTGAATTTAGAGGATGAGCTTTCATCAGGTGAGAGAGATAAAACAGTAAATGAATTGTACTTCTTAAGTTTGTGAGTGAAAAAAGACCTATGAAAATAAATGAAACACAAACAACTGAATCATTACGGCTTAATGTTTCCTTCACTTAACATAAAATATTTTTCTTTATCATTCTAAGGTCAATTTGGATTCAAGAAGGAGTCAGACGACGATGATGCAAAATCAACAGGTACAAGTAATTAGAGCAAACGCGTGTGTTAGCTTAAGCGTCAATTAAACACTGGGAAACACGTTGCAAAAGAAGTCGGCTTTTCGAAGATTGAAGAGAGATGATCACTTTTAGAGGGTCAATATTTAGTATAGAATAAAGAAGAAATTATTTTACAGCCTAAATCGGCACGATAACCATGCGTTTTACATTTTTCACTTTCCAAACTGATTTGGGTCTTCGATATTTTTACACCTAGGGGAAAAACCTTGCAGATATTAGGAGATGGAGAAAAACAAAAGTTGTGAACAATAACGAGTATTATTACTATTTACATGTATTGGTATTTTAGTTGGTCAACAGGCCTCCTGTTGGAAGCCTGGACTTTGCTCATAACGGTTTATCAGGCGAGAAAAAAGAAACATGCATCTTAAGATTTCTTATTAGAATTAACGATAACAAGACAACTAGAACTGAAATTTTGTCATCTATCAACTGAGTTGATAGTGAATCAAAGCCATTCGCTCTGACGAAAGGTTAACGCTCGAAATGTCAGCTTTAAAACTCTTTACGGTTGCTAATTTACGTTATCAACTCAGTTTATTACCCTGTTATACTCTCCCACCGATGCAGCACCACAGTTTCTCTAGAAACGTACCCCCTTTATCATCTTGTTGACTAAGATTAGCAAAGCGAATATTCTTGGTATCTCGACAGTCTAACAGACCAGTTATCAATCGCATTATCACAAGTTTAGTCCATGAGTTGCCTCCTTGATCAGTTGATGACACAAAAAAGAGTGAAAACCATTTCGTTGTAATTTCATTGACAGACAAAAGTAAAGCTACTTCTGTTGAAAAAAAAGTGGATATGAAGGATGCTCCTTTAGTAGGTAAGTTAGGAAGCACAGAGAAATCAAAGTCCTTAAAAGACTGAATTAAGTGGAATTTAATATACAAAGATTATTTTCTGAAAATCACTTGCGCGCGTATTTCACCAAGTATGTGGGGTGACTGGTCGGACTGGATTTTGACCGAGGAGTTTTTGAATATTGAGTTACCGAGACGAAGTCAAGGTTTATGAAACGAAAGAAGAAAGAGCTTCAAACGCTATTACATGTTACCCCTGGGTTTAAACCATTTACTGTGTTACGTTCGCTTGGAGGAGAGAGCGAAAGACTTACGAACGACTACATCATCTATGCAAGCACTGTCAGATGAATACCCCAACAACTTTTGTTTAATCACTGCTGTAAAGATCACAGCCTTGTTCCGGCCGGGCTCAAACTTAAGTCCCCGTCGAACACACATAGGTCATCCAGATCGTCAGAGCCACCTGCAGATGACTGTCAAAGCGCGGCTAAATGATTGCCACAGAAGACTCAAACGTTACAAAAACAAGACACAACAACTACAGGAAAAACTGAAACAACTGATACCTACTGAATTACTTGACACTGTTTCGACTATTGCCGACAAACGAGACAACAAAGCGACTGAACGTGCTCGTACTGGGCATCAACAGAAACTGACAGGACGTCTACGCAACAAAGAACAGAGGCGAAGTAAACCGGACGACAACTAGGTAAGGAATATCTCTTCCCGTCCCTTAGATAGGAATGAAACTCGCATACTGTCATACGGACAGAAACACTCAGTTACACCGAAACGGATACCAACCGAGGGCATTGTATCTGGTGTTGAAGCGGCTCCATCTCGGCAACGAAAGCTATCTGAGTCTACTAAGGATAACATCAGAAGTAGAATTGTTTCCACTGTACAATCAGCGTTACAACATGGCGGCAACTTGACTAAAGACGAACAACATGCCCTTAAACGACTTAAAAACGACTAGGACATAGTTATTCTACCAGCCGACAGAGGATGAGTTACTGTTGTCATGGACAAGACTGACTATCACGACTAGATGGACGCACTAGTTAACGACAAACAAAACCTACGAAGAACTCAAACGTGACCCGACTCCTGCGCTTCAACGCAAACTTAACAGCACATTACTGACACTCAAGAAGATAAACGCCATGGACACCCAACGCTACTATCGACTCAGGTGCTCAGTACCACAGCCACCGAAACTTTACAGTCTGCCGAAACTACACAAACCTTGTTTCCCAATGCGACCTATTGTTTCTTTCTGTGGTTCTCCGACATACCAACTGTCCAAGTACCTGACGACGATACTACAACCGCTCACCGACAAATCCAGACGTAAATTACAATCCACCGAGGACTTCATTAGCGCCACTAAGACTGTACAGATACCTGACGACTACAAAATAGTGTCATTTGATGTGAAATCGCTTTTTACAAGTATTCTACTTCAACTGGCGCTACAATGTACTGAGACTGCTATCTTACAATCTACCGACAGAGGACTTTATGGACTTACTAAACCTTTGCCTGACGTCAACTTAATTTCAGTACAACGGTAAACACTACAAACAGTTACACGGTACAGCTATTGGGTCTCCAGTTTCTGTTGTTGTGGCAGAAATTGTGATGCAACATCGAGGAAAGCGCCCTTTCGATTTGCCGATAAACGATACCACTTTGGTTACGCTACGTTGACGATACTTTCACCGCCGTACGATACGACGAAAGTGACGCATTCCACCACCACCTTAACGAACAAAACACTGACATGCAGTTTACTAGAGAGGTTGAAGAAAATGGTAAACTGCCTTTTCTAGACTTTGTCACTACGGACAACTGTTTAAAGGAAACCGACACATACTGACAGAGTACTGGACGAGTCATCATATACCCCGACATCACTCAAAGCCACAACTATCAGGACTCTTACGCGACGAGCGCAACTAGTATGCAACACGACAGACAGCTTATCCGACGAGAACAAGTACCTTGACCGTGTTTTTTCTAAGAACAACTACAACGAAGACTTCATCCAACGTAACACTCACCGAGCTACTACTACTACCGAAGCTAACGACAACACATCTCATACGACCACAGCAACTATACTGTACATAAAGGGCATATCTGAGAACATCTCGCGCATTTTACAACCATTCAATATCCGCGTCGCTCACAAGCCTATCACCACATAACGTCAGTTACTGACTAACGTCAAAGACAAAGACGAACCGAGGAACAGACATAGAGCAGTGTATAAGATCAATTGCTCCGACTGCCACGCCTCCTACAACGGTGACACTGGAAGAAACCTCAAAACTAGACTGACTGAACACAAACAAGCGTTGAGGAAAGGCGATGTCAACAATCACATTGCTAAACATAACCGACCTACGAACCACACTATTGACTGGGACTCTGCGCAGTGCCTAACCTACAGCACCGACTACTTTCAACGGCTGACCTTAGAAAGCTGGTTTACCAACTTGGAACAGACTCCCCTCAACAGATGTCAATCACTACCGGCACCATACAAACGACTCATTCACGACATTAACATTTTTTTTCTTTTAATGGACAATTATTTATCTATTTTGATAGTCTAACAGGAAAGTTTTCAACTAGGCTATCACGAAAATTCCAATAACGGTACATGGTTTTCTCTTGTGACATTCATTATTCTATGACTTTTATTATCCTGTCAAGTTGTGTCCTGTCAATTGATCAAGAACAATTCTGATAATATTAATGATAATAATGATAGCACAACTGATGAATAGCAACAACGATAATTGTGATGATGAGCATTTAAACAATCTTTTTATTATACTTTTAGACCAGGAGAAAAGTCAAGTCCTTTTCTCTGGAAAATCAAAGGATTTAGAGATCGAGAGTTCAACAGGTAAAGGATTATACCATCTCTTGGTGTGCATTTATTGTTATAATGGCTGATTTATTGAGTGAGCGTTGGTTGCTTCAATCAATAACCAGCAGCATCTATTTTAATGATTAACAGCAATAAAAAGCAACAATAGGAAAACCTTGGGCCAAAAAGACTGCATTCACTGTTGTTGATGTATTGTATTCATAAACGTGTCTGTTGGTTGCTTTCTGAAAATTTATTAGGTGCTGTTAGGTGCTCTCTAGAAAATTATGATCCTTCATTGTTTTCAAACAGTTTCCAAAGCTCAACCCAATATGTTTAACTATTTTCTATTTTTTTAGGTACGTCAGAGGATAAAGTTAAGGCAATCCAAGAAAATCTGGATTTGGATGATAAACATTCTTCAGGTAAGAGAAATAAAACAGAAAAGAGATGGGTGATTTAAGTTTGTAACCACTGAGTACAACACGCGCGATAAAATCAAACACACCGTCGAACAAACTGAACCCTGAAAGTGTTCTTTGCTCGTGAAAATTTGTGTTCGTTGCTATTTCACGATCATTTTACATCCAAGAAGGAAACGGATGGTGATGGATGCAAACCAAAAGGCACAAGAGATCAATATAACACTGAATGAATATATGCCTGAATTTAAGTCTGAATGCAAATCGAAAAATAAATCTTGGTCATCATCAGAGATCATCACAGATAGTGAGCGTTTTAACTATTACTGTGTATTGGTATTTCAGTTGGAAAAGAGGACAATATGGAAGCTGATGAAAACCTGGCTGCTGCTGACAACGGTTCCCCAGGTGAGGAAAAAAGTGAGGCCTTATCAGATTTTTTATATGAATATAACGATATGATACTACATCTCGAACCGAGATTTGCAAACAATGGTGAGCAAATCGAGTAATCTTGGTATTCAGACAGTCTAACAGCCCATTTATCAATTCCACTGTCACAAGTTTAGAGCAAGAATTGTACCTGTGAGTGGTGGAATGGCTTTTTGTCTATCACGATAGAAAAAAGGACAGACGAGGAAATTATAGAAGACGCAATACGTGACAAAACTCAAAAGTGTGAAGTTTTTCCCCTGTCATTCTTTAACATACAAAATTAAGGCTACTAAGTCAAAAAGATGCTGAGTCGTTCTAAGTAAAATATGCGCAGATCTTTTTTTTTCTGCAAAAGACTGGTAGGCGTTCTTAACCAAGATTTTCGGCACCAAAACGGAGGCGAAATGCGTAAAAACTCAAGAGAACATTTATTAACGAACAAAACTATCAAAGAGCTGTTTTAAAGATCGGCCGTGAGAAATGTTGATGTCAACAATCACATTTCTGAACATCGTCGACTAACGAACCACAATATTGTCTGGGACTCTCCAAGACTCTTTCGGAAGCTGGATTACCTACTTAAGGCTGATTCTTCCCAGCAGAAGAGTAAAAATCAAGAGAGTGAGGGGAACACAAAAAAACTATGACAGATCACGGTTGCTCTGACGAAAGGCTAACTCTCGAAACGTCAGCTTTGACTCTTGAAACAGTGGTCAATTTACGTTATCAACTCAGCTGATGATACCAAATTACCCTGTTATACTCTTCCACCGACGTAGCACCACAGTTCCTTTAGAAACTTACCCCATTAATTACAGTTCACAACTGATTATATTATCATCATCACCCGTTTCACTTAGGTATCATAGAGACACAAGCTGAGGCAGCTGAAGAAAACGAGGACTTTCCTTTCAACAACTCATCAGGTAAAAAATTGATTGTTTATCAGCTTTTATGTATGTGCCATAACACAAGAGCTCGCAATGGAAGAGTTCGTCAACACACGGAGTAAATTATATCATTAAACATACTAAGATCTTCTTAATCCAACCCTACGGGTTTTCACTCTAATTTTTTATACATCCTCTTTCTCTCATTCCAAGCAATATCGTCACCAAAAGTCAGTGTTTTTAACCATTTGCATTTGACCAACTTACCGGTCCTCACTCATTACCTGAAAGCCTCAAAACTGTCGTCACCATTCCAGAAAATCTTCCACTATCTAATTCAGAGCTAGAAATCTGTGCTCGGTAAGGGCTTAAATTCTGTTTCCATTTTTAAAACCACCGAAAAATTTTTAGGCAAGAAACATTTCGAAAAATTCCTTCGCGCGTTCAATTTCATAAAGCCGTTTTTCATGACAAAGACATGCTAACAAATTAGAGATGCCTAATCAGATTAGAAAGTCCAACTGAACTTCCCCAGAGGGCCAGTCCGCAGCTTTACGTTTTTTCATCAAATAATGTTTTCACCAAGTAGATAGCAATAAATTAAGTCAGTGGGCATTGAGTACAACAAACGTTATGAAATAAACATTAAAATAAACAAACAATGGATCATTAACTAAAAGTGTTCTTGGTTCAAAGGGAAATGTTTTTTCTTTCATAATTCGAGGCCAAATTGCATTAAAGAAGGAATCAGATGGTAATGATAACAAATTAATAGGTATAAGTAATAAGTGTAACACTCAGACAGTTTTTAAGCCTACATCTGTAGGAAGATTATCCAAAAAAACCCTGGAATCGTTTTTGTTTAAAACTGAGCAAAATAATCATATTTCAATTGTGGCATTGATCTGCACAGTTTCCGTAATTTCAAACCAATCTATGATTGTTTACAAGTACTTGTAATGTTAGACAATTTCATTGTTTTCCTCGCACCTTGTTACTTGATCTAAAATGTTTACGCGGCTAAGAAGCCGTTGAGAGACAAGTGGTGTGGAAATTCACTCAAGAAAACTTTTTACCAAAAGGAAAGTTGTAGTTATTTCAAATGAAACGTTTCAAGGCAATTAAGCGTTTAAAGATTGAAAACTGACTGAATAATTTTCTGTGGGTTAATATTAAGACAGAAAAAACCAAGAGATTGTTTCACAGTCGTAATCTACACAATAACGGAAAAAAATTTTTATTTTTCAGTTTCTGAAGTTATTTTAGTCTTTCATATTACGATATTAAGGGGAAAACCCCAATTAAAATATCAGAGGATGGTGGAAATCAATAGAAAAGCTTTTCAAATATTTCAGTTTTTATGACCAATGACATTCTTTGTTTTTTTGAGTTACCAAAGAGGCACAGGTTGAAGCAGCTGAAGGAAACCTGGACTTGACTGACAACAGTTCATTAGGTGAGAAAAACAGTTAAATGCTTTTCAGAAATTGTTAACTTGTGCAATAATAACAGAACAGAGCTTACCCTGATCATGGACAGAAATTATTCAATATGTTGTTATTCAACTTATCATTGTAAAATTTTTCCTGGTCCAGTAGGTCTAAATACTCGCGGCACTCCTCACTTGTTTGTCGTTGTTATTTCCCCGCCCATAAGATACCATTTGAATAGGTGTGACAGGTTCAATGTCTTATATGTGTACTTGATCATAGGCCAGATATCTTTTTGGTGACAAACTAGACGTAAATTTATACTCAACTAAACTATGAACACTCCTTCCTCTATGTGCCCCCGCCTAAACGAAAACTTATACTTAGCTAACCTGAGCTAAACTTAAATAGACAACAGACCTTTCAGATGCACTAAACTTAACTGTACCAAAACGCATTTAACTCAACTCAGATGAGATACAACTTTTGGTTATATTTTCAGAGGCAGACAAAAGC